CTCTGCATTGCCTGATTCTCAAGAGGAATGCATTCTGGGAAGTAGCTTAAGAAGGAAAATCTATGCTGAACACATGCCTACTAAGTCATGCTCTGGAGACTAACAGACAGACAAAGAGAGAGGTGGCAGGAGTTGAAAGGGAAAGCTATAGCATCATGGTGACAGAGAATCTAAGTGGCCTTATTCAACATCAAGGTGAACCTGGCCAACAGTGACCTAACTGAGGTTTAGATAGCTGATGGTTTATCTTGTACCTTGTCATCAGCAATGAGCAATGTGTGACTGTAGAAAGACTGTAACCTTTGGTTACAGGTTTCTGAAGTTCAGGATTTTTTTTACAGGAGGCTAATAGCTGGAGCCTGTCTGATAACAGCTGAGCAACAAAGCATTTCTTGAAGGAGATCTTGGCTGGCACAGCTTTCTGTAGATTATATGTTGTTTACCTAGTTAGATAACTCCATCATTTTTGTCATTGCATTTTTCCACTGTTAAAGATGGAACTCAGAACCTTGCATAGGCTAAAATTGTGTCAAAATCATCTTCCTGTCATAATTACATTCCAATTCGTAAATATACACCTATTTGTTTCAGTTGATACTTTCTCTCATAAGCACTGTAAACCTTAAAGACAAGAATCATTATCCTTCCATGTTCATCTTTCTAGCCATCTCAATGACAACCATTTTTAGGTAGAAACAATGATTATATACTACCCTTTCTTCTCTCAGTAATACTGCGCTCAAGTAGAAACAGTGCCAATGAGGCTGAAGCTGATAAGCTGAAATAGAAGCATAATAATGCTAAAAACATTTTGGATTGAACACTGTATTGTCCTTAAATATTATGCATATAGAGAACAGTCTGGTTAAGCATTTTACAAATGAAACCCATTTATCATTGGAGGGTTGCCTGATCACAGAAAATCCATCATCACCAATATGCCATTTTTGGCTGAATTCAACCCTGCTTTAGCACAATACAAAAAGCATATTTCTTCAAATGGCTGTACCTGGAGGCCATGCATGTCACAATTTTCAAATATACTATGAAAGATTACATATTGTATATGGTTATTTGACCTATTTATCCACAGGGTAACTGGATAAATAAGTAGGTCAGAAATGAATTATAAAATCGGAGTGTCTGACCCTAGGAAAGAGAAATAGCTATTAACATATTGTCCCACACATATGCACAGATTTCATAGTTTAAACTATCACCATGTTTACAAATGCCGCATCTAACTTTAGAAGTTTTTAAAATCAGATTTCCTATTATATCACACAAATTATATTCAACAGTTCATAAAAATACAATTAATATGAGATGTTAAAATATGTATTTACTGCAAAGGCAAATATTTGTTTCTGTCTTCATGGAGAAAAACATCTAAATCAAAATATCAAATTTATAATGCACATTGATGCATTATTGTCACATATACCTCATTACTTCACATGTTTGTGCAATGGACTTTTTGTTTTCCTAAAGGAAAGTAATTTAGTAAGCATAAATCATATTGACTTCACACTTTTCCAAGTATCTCATAATGGATCTATTTTAGCTTTCAAAAGGAAAAGAACAAATAGTCATTTAACAGAATCTGTAGAGTAAAAGATCTGTAATATAGTAGCACTGCATCCTTAAATTTTATAAAAATGTTTAGAATACATATATGTATCGGACTACTTGAGGCACTGAAAGCTTGAATGCAATAATTTCCCAAATAACTTTTGCACCTACCCAAAGACTAAGAAGCAATTGTGCTGAAAGTAATACAAGGAAAACTAAGGCATGCATCTATAGATGTTTGTCACACACATTCCTCTTTTATATATTGTTAATTTGTTGATTTTTAAAAATGTAAACAGGACAACCTTTTCAGTCTAGTCAATGTCTGGGAGTTATTGCTGTGGTGAAGCACCATGGACAGCGTACAACGGGAAGAAAAGGGTTTATTTGACTTAAACTTTCACATCACCATCCATCACTGGAGGAAGTCAGGATAGGAACTCACAGGGCAGGATTCTGGAGGTAGCAGCTGATGCAAAGGCCACGAAAGGGTTCTGCTCATTTACTTGCTCCTCATGGCTTTCTCAGCCTGCCGGTTTTCTTAGAGAACCCAGGAACACCAGCCCAGTTATGACTCCATCTACAATGGACTGGGCCCTCCTGAATAATCACTAATTAAGAAAATGCCATAAATGCTTGCCCATAGTCTGATTTTATGGAGAGAGTTTATCATTTGAGGTTTGCTCCTCTCAGATGGCTTCAGTTTTTGTCAAATTGACATAAAACTAGCATTTGAAGTTAATAAACATAATGTGCATTATTTTCTAAGTAATAAAATGAATCTAGGGTGTTTTAATTTTGCTGTAGTTTGAATTGTTCTAGAAACAAACTTCTTAGTGAAGATAAATAATCTGGTGATTAAAAGGTTAGGTAATTTGCTGAGTTTTATATAGTAAGTTAGTAGATAAGAAAAAGACAATGTGCTTCATAAAACAAACATTTTGTTTTAAAAATTTATTAATTGATATAGAATTACTTCACTTTTATCCTCTCTCCAGCCCCTGCTGTGTCCCATCAACTCCCAAACTGATAGCCCCTTTTTATTTGATTATTAATGTTCTATGTGTGTGGGTGTGCATATATGTGCATATATATAGTACAAACTTCTAAAGCCATTTTGTTATTATAAACAATATTTTCTTACTATGAATAGTTTTACTAGTTGTTACACTAATGATTTATCTTATTATTGGCTAACAATAACTCTAACATATTATTCCCTGTCTTTTCTAGACTATTGAAAGCTACAAAAAGACCAATTCTCAAAACAGTAGTAAAATGCTAGACTGTGGAGATGATATTATTGAGCATATTCATCAGCTACCAATCAGACAAATTGATTCCTAACCAATTATAATTGCTCTTTTGTCTTTCAGGGGCCCACCCTCTAGCTACCTAATAATTCACACACAGAGGCTTATTATTACTTATAAATGCCCAGCCTTAGCTTGTCTTGTTGCTAGCCAGCTTTCCTTGATTAAATTATGCAATCTGCCTTTTGCCTCTAGGCTTTGTCCTTTTTTTCTTACTGTCACTCTTACTCCATGTCTTGTTGTGTAGCTGGGCGGTTGGCTCCTAGCATGCTCCTCTCCTTTCTATCTTGCTCCTTCTTCTAATATTTCTCATCCAGTTTATTCTGCCTGCCAGGTCTGCCGATCCTTCCTCCTGCCTTACTATTGGCAATTCAGATCTTTATTAGACAATCAGGTGTTTTACACAGGCAAAGAATCACAGCTTCACAGAATTAAACAAATGCACCATAAAAGAATGCAATACATCTTTGCATCGTTAAACAAATGTAACATACCTTAAAATAGTATCGCACATACATATATATGCATATATGCACATATTTGTACAGACACACGCACACATATATATCCCCAATATTCCCACAGTTTACCCCTGAAACCAGGGAAATTTTTTTAAATGTGAAGAGTATTTGTTTGAGGAATGTGTGTTCTTACTGAAAATTTCTTTAACACTCAGGTCAAAAATGTGATGAAAACTATCATGGCTGGATTGCAGCAAACCAACAGTGAAAAGATTCTTCTGAGCTGGGTTCGACAATCAACTCGTAATTATCCACAGGTTAATGTCATCAACTTCACCTCCAGCTGGTCTGATGGCCTAGCTTTGAATGCGCTCATCCATAATCACAGGTGAGTTTATTTTGAGATTTAAATTGTTTTTAAGTATGATTGAGACACTGACGGTATATTTCCTGCAGTGTGGCCCCTCTGCTATGCCACATGTTGTTAACAATATCAATCTAAGTATTTATTAAAACAGAGAAAGCATTTTTATGTTTGCTTGTTTATTTGAGATAGGGTATCCTCTAGGTAGGTCTTATCTAACTAAAACTTATGATACCACTGTCTCAGTTCAGAGTAATGGGATTACATGCTTTAAACACCATGGCCAGCATATTTTCTAATTTTTAAGTTATGCATGGCTATAGTTGAAGGAGGAAAAAAATGGACACATATTATCCAGAGATTCCTAAACAGACAGATTATTTCATAACTTTGCTAATAAGGAGACTAATTGGTTTTAATAGAAAAAATATGCATCACTTTGAGCCTAGACTATAAAACTAAAAGTGTCTCTAGATATTATGTAAGTGGTTTTAGTGAGATCAAATAAATAATGTACAGGCAAATATTTGTTATATGAAACACACGTTTACATAGTAAACACCAGGATGCCCTGCAAGTTTTTTCCTCATCAGGACTAAAAAAAATAACAAACATTTTATCAACCATGGCAAAAAGAGGGGTATAGTGAGTTCTATGTCTCAGTGTTCAGAACTTCAAAAGAAGCAGTTTCTCTATAGCAGTTAAGCAATTTCTGTGAAATAAGGAACAGCTCTGTGGACCTTCATAAAACAACAATGTAACATAATGAACTAAGCAGCTTTTACTATAGTCCAGATTTGTTATAATTCTTAAAATGATGAAATAATGGCTTACTTTTCTTAGATAATAAAGTTTAACAAATTGATATATGATAGCTCAAATAAAATTAGAACCAGGTAGGGAAGGTACGCATATATGTCTAAAATTATATATAAAATATATTATACTATTAAATACTTTCATATGTACAAGCTATACAGCACAGTTATACATATGATACATCAAGTTACATTTCTTGCAAGAAATATCAACTTTGGTCTTATTATTAACTGTCTCTTTAAAAGATGGTCAAATTGATATTTTATTCCATTGGACTTAAGCTTCCCTGAATCACCATGTAGGTTATCTTTTGTCACTTACATTTATCTTTTTTGTTCCATTTTCTTTTTCTCCAAGTCTACCATTTTTCTATACCACTCTTACTTACAGAGAAGGTCAGAATATAAAATTTCCTTGTGGTAAGGCTGAACTCAAGGGCAAACTCAAAAGAAAGCATCTTTGTCAGGTGTCATGTTCCAGCTGGGCTTAATTAGCCCCATCCAGACTAGGTTTCCAGGTGAGTGATTCAGCAAACCTGACTATAAAAAGAAGCTTGACTGGCCCTAATCCACACATTTAACAAGGTAAACAGATTGGTTTTCATAAGTAAAACAAAAGAAAAATTTTCACAGCTTCAGTACAGTCAGGTAAAAAGAGATAGGGCTATTGATTCCACATCATAAGTTCAGGCTCATTAATGCAGCCACATGATTCACATTAAGGGCTTGAAGAAATATTGATTGTGACCTTCATGTATATATGTGCAGATAAACAACAATATTGAGGATCAGGTTATGTGCTACTTGTTGGCTCTTTAATATTTTCTTTTCAAATGGGAGATGGCTTCACTGCTGTAAGTATGTTCATACACCATATTTGTTAATTTTCTTTTGGCAATTCCTGAATACATTTTTAAGTAATACAGGAAACATCCAGCTTGTCCTATCCCTCACCCACTCTTTCTCTGCCACAGTGTATTTGCATTTATGTATTTTCCCCCTTGGTAACGAATGAGCCATCAATAACTATCTTTTTCTTCATTACATGTTTAGTTTTCAAGAGGTTCCTCACAATTGCCTAATGCTGTGTCATGAATCATCTCACTCTTTGTCTTTGACAGATGTGAATATTGTTTATCTGAAAACATGGTTGGACTTTCTGTTCCAAGGTGATTGTCATTGGCATTCTTAGGAATGTCATTCAGTGCCCTGATTTCAATAACTGAGTGACTAAGCTATATAGAACAAAAACACAGAGCACAGAGACCTTGGAAATTAAAAGGTTTATGTTCAAACACAATGTCCACTACAGTGAAGTTGAAAATAAACGAGTTTCCACTTTTAGAGGAAAAATGATAACTGATAAGAAATATGTAGCAAACATGAACATTAAATTATAATACCTTTATGCTGCAATTAAATATTCATCCTAATCTCTTCTCTTCCTACTCCAGGACATGGTTTAAGAAAAAGATATCTATTGTGTTACTGAGATTTTCTTTTGGTCTAGTCTCAGCTCCTTGTTACTTGTGATTTTTTATTGAAAGGACTCAGGTGGGAAGATAGAATTTATTATAGAATTAAATGAGGTACACCCACTAGAAAAAACGGGCAGTAATCAAAGAGGCCATTTGTTGAGGCAAACACTGTCATGGGATGGGCGTCAATAGTAGTCAGAGAGACTATTATTTTTTATTTCTGTTATTTAAATTAACATAGAGAAATTTTTATAGAACAAACTTTAGAGGGGTGAGAATACATTTTGACCAAAAGGACATCTGTGCCACCCTACATTTTTTCAGGTAAGCATCATACTCTTTCTTAAAGTTCCTAGAACAGACAGCTTTCCTGAAGCACATTTTCCTGCCTATGTGATTGAGAAACCCATTTGAACTGACTCCTCCTAAAGGGCAAACTGGCTTATCTTTATTGTATATCAGAAAGCTAAAACAAGATACTGTGATTTTAATCTTCTCTATCGTACAGAAAGTCATGTCTGAATCAAGGACAACAGAGAGATTTGGATTCAGAACCTATTTATTTACCAAAGTCCTGAAATTTTGGTATCTTAATTCACAAGCTGCTGATTATGAGGAAAGTGTCCATACTCAATAACCTTTAACCCTCTTGATATCTATTTAGCTACCTAAGAATCACCCCTGAATTGAAATCCTCAAAACATTTTTAATGTGACCACTTAATTACTTACATGTTGGCTTTCCAAAGGGTCTTTGGGAAGATTTCCTTAGAAGAATCTCCTTTGTATGGTTTACTTGGGAGTGGTGAATCCAGGTGAAAATTTATAGAAGCTTAGTGACTAGAGAAGGTAAAATTATAGGAAAAGGCCCTTTCCAACTCATTTCTAGGAGTTACTTTATTGTTGGTCCTAAGGACCCCCTCTGTATGTTCTGATTAGAACCTGTTATTATTCTTGTGAAGTTTTGTTTTATCATATTTGTGAATGGGTTTGAAATCTTTGTAACACATACTGTTGATAGAGCATTGAATTTCACTGAACTTGGAGGCAGATTACAGATTATATACAATAATCTACAAATGGATCTGAATATAGAAAAGGTTACCCATAAAGTACTTCAGAAAGGCTTAGACTTGTGGCAAAATAAGGACCTAAATGAAATTCAGGGTGTTCCTGGTAGCATTTCCCTTTAGGTAAGATGGTTTTTAATGTGTTTATGTATGTATATATATATATATATACATTATTCTTTTTAGATATTTGTATGTATGTGTATCTGTTGAATATATGTCATGTATGTGTAAGTGCCTTTAGAGGTCAGAAGAGGTCACTGGATCCCTGAAAGGTGTAATCACAAGCAGTTGTGAACTGCCCAACATGGGTGCTAGGAATGACTTCATGTCCTCTGGGAAAGGAAAAGCACTCTTAAACACTGAGAAATCTCTTATGTCAGATACTATCAACATTATTTAGTCAATAATTTGGGGTCTCACTTGTAAATTTTGCTTTTCCAGAGGACTGAACTTTACAACATGAAGGCAGACAATATTTAATACCCAGAGATATATTTACAGACTGAATGATAATGGAGAAAAAGAAAAGATCATTATGGCATTAAAGATCTCAAGTTTGAAGAACAATGTTAGTTTCTAGCATTTGAAAATTGCAGCATGAATACCAAACATGTAAAGGTGCATAATGTAAAGCATTACATGTCAGGCAAGATATAAATGCTAATAGCATGAATATTTTTAAAATATTTTTAACTTTTTGAGGTATATATAATTATGTTACTTCCACCTTCACTTTTCTCCCCCTTAACCCTCCCCTATTTCAAATTCATGGCCTAAATATAACCTGAACAAGAAGAATACAAGTAGAAATACTAACATTAAATGGGAAAAATTCACTGAGGTTTCAATCCTACCAAAGAACTAGAAGCAAGTTATGAACCAAAATCAGGAGTGACGAAGTTCCCTAGAAAAGGGCACAATTGATTTTTTCAATGCCGAACCGTTACTTCTGAAAGCATACATACAAGTAACATGATAAGGACTAACCATGTTGCATCTTTGTATTTTGGAGTGTGTGTGTGTGTGTGTGTGTGTGTGTGTGTGTGTGCGCGCGCGCGCGCGCGCACGCGCTCGCGCATGTGCATGTGCCTGCACACACATATACATACATATGTAACAACAACTAAAGTAACTGGTTTTTAAGAAATAATTATTTTATCCATTCTTTGAGAATTTTATATCTGTTTCCATAGTATTTGGATACAGAAAATGATAGAGGTCTTGATCAGGTTTGTTCTCTCTGCTAGATAAAGAATTGGAGAGCAAGAAAACTTTCAAATGTAACAGGTAGCAGCAAGGAAATTTCTAACACAGCAACCAGAATCAGCAGTTTATGGAAAGGTATTTCCTGGGGATGTGGTTCACACAGATGCAGCAGGCACCCAGAGAAAACCACCCTCTGCAAAGCAGGGGTCAGGGGACTCAAAAAGATGAAAAATGTCTGTCGTAAGGGCTGGGTTTTTAAAGCCTCTGAAGTTTTCCTTCCCCTAATTTGGAGTTGGTGAGTTTGAAGAGAGATGGGATAGTTGACTGACTAGCCACTGTCATTTACATGTAATGACTAATCCTTGAACTTTCAGAGGTCTCTTAGCAGGGATATTGCTATTGGAAGACAAAACTTACATGGCCTTTGATTTATACTGTCAGGCTTTTGTCTCAAATCAGGAAGGTGATGAAGAAGCCAACTATCTTAGGAGTTTGCAACCCTTCTTAACAATATCCTTGGCCTCTCTCCTTATCTATCAGGCTACCATTGAGTCTCTCTAATACCTAGTCTTTGATTTCAGTGTTAGAGGTCACGGTTAGTGCAGTTAGAGGCTTAAGGACACTTAATGCTCTTAAGTGCTTCCACCTGACAAGGATGGAGGAAGGAGGGTCAACATTCAAGGTGCCTCAGAGGAGAGGGTTGATCTGAGGGGCCTTAATAGCAATGTGGTGGTAGTGTGTGTCTTTGGAATTAATCACATGAGACCAGTAATACCTACAATAAATAAAAAATTAGACTGTTAGTAGTGCCATAAATCTTACTCAAAGTATAGTTAGAGAATAACTGTGCCTTTATAACAGGAAGAAAACAAGCAAGAAAACCAGCCAAAGAACCATTGGTAGGCTTTGTCACAAGTATGAACTAGACAGATGATTTCTCTGCCTCCATCATCTACCTAACAGTGACATGTATGCCATGTTGGAGGTCATGTATGTAGTTTAGAGTTCAAGATGCCTTTCATCAACCAATCTGAGTTCAGAAGTTGTTCAATGAGTTTCTTCTGCTGTAACTTCATGGGGAACATGAAGAGATTAAAGAGAAAAGTTTCTTGACATCATGGTTGACATTAGTTTTGTTTGAAAAGCAAGACATATTTTTGTAGCTGGCTAGATGCTGTCAGAAACTTTTCACCTAAATACTTCAGAAGGCCTAATGGCAGTATCTTACCAGCAAGAGATGCCTCTGCCCATTTACGAGCTGTAATATCCAGTAAAACTGGACAGTATAGGCAAAGCCTTAGTGAAATCAAGTTCCAATTTGTCAAAGTCATAATCAGACCTCAGCATCTGTTTGCCAGTAGAGTATATGGCAGCCTATTTAAACCAGAGAACATGATTGATTAGGGCACAAGCTATCACATTATAATTATGAGAAGTAGTATTCAGGAAGCAGTTAGGGGTATCACGAAGGTAATCTTTAGTGAGAAATACTTATTCAACATCTTGCTTGGTTAAGTATAATGTCTGAGGAGTAATAAAGAAATATATTGATATTTTATCACTGCCTGTAATTTTCTTTTGCATGTTTAAGACCATGTAGGTGGGCAAAATTAATAATGTTCTTTTTACTGTCAAGGATAGTTGAAGATCTACCCAGGGAAGTCCTTGATGGTATCTTGGAATATTTCTACTCCATCAAGATAGGGGGAATAGATTAGGAAAGACCACTGGAGGTTTGCAAATCCTATTTAATTCTCTCAAC